TCATCAAAGAATACAAGCACGAACCTTCTTAAATATGGGCGAAACAACTCGTTCATCACACTCTGAAACGTTGATGGAGCATTAGTGAGTCCGAAAGGCATTACCAAGAATTCATAATGCCCTTCATGAGTCTTGAAAGCGGTTTTCTCCACATCGCTGCCCTTCACTCGGATCTGATGATAGCCCGACTTCAAGTCCAGTTTAGAGAACACCGTTGCTCCGTGTAGTTCATCCAGCAGCTCTTCGATAATTGGGATGGGATAACGGTCAGGTATCGTGGCTTTGTTGAGTGCTCTATAATCTACACAGAATCTCCATCCCCCATCCTTCTTCTTCACTAGTAGCACTGGGCTGGAATAAGGGCTGATACTTGGTCGAATTATTTGAGCTTCAAGCATCTCTCGCACAAGTCTCTCTATCTCATTTTTTTGTACGTACGAGTAGCGATACGGTCTCACGTTAATGGGCCCTGTTCCTGCTTGCAACGTTATAGCGTGTTCACGATGGCGAGCTGGAGGTAATCCGGGTGGCATATTAAAGACCCCCTCATACTTCTGCAGGATCCTCTGTAACTCGGGATGATCCACTGTACCTTTAAGCGGTTCTGTACCATCGAACAGAGAGGTCAACTCTAACAAGTACACTTCGCCTTGCTTCTTCAGAATCTTCTCCATGGAGTTGAGAGAGATCTGCTCGGGGCTCAAATTCGGATCCCCAACCACTGTGACCCATAAGTTCCCAATCTTCCAACTCAGAGTGCTGCGTAGCCAATTTATCCTCGTATCCCCCAGTGAGGCGAGCCACGAGTACCCCAATACCACATCAGTGGTGCCCAAATCAAACAGTAAAAACTCCTCAACAATCTCCACTCCTTGAATATCCAACAGCAAGCCTGAGCATCTACCTTTGCCGCTGATAATCTGACCATCTGCCACTCGAACTCCAAAACCCCTGGTGTCTGTTGGTTGCAACCCCAACTCTCGTGCCAAGGACTCTGAAACGAAGTTACTTGTAGCTCCAGAGTCTACGAGTATAATCACCTCTCGATTCTTGATCCTTCCCCTCATCTTCATGGAGCGGACAGCTGTTAAGCCCACCATTGAGTGGAGCGACAGTGTTACTACCTCTTGGGGTTCTTCTACTCGCTCCACCTCTGCTTGTTCGAGCTGTTCATTTTCTCCTTCAAACTCTGGCCCTTCTTCTTCTTCTTCCAGCTCTAAACATTTGAGTTTCTGTTTACAGCGGTGACCTGGAACCCATTGTTCGCTACAGTATCTACAAGGGTTCGAGTTGTGAGTCCCTGAGGCTCCTGCCACTATGCGGTGGTCCTTGTTGGTGTCAAAGGGCTTCTTGAAAGTGTTAACCTTGTTTCCCTTGCCATAAGGCGTTCCTTGGTTCTGATTCGCAGGGCTGGTTACCGTCGACGTAATCATTCGTGGCTGGGATCGATTGAAGTATCCACTGCCATCTCCTTCCTGAGATTCAATGAGTTTCGCAATATCCACGATATCCGCCATATTAACAGGTCTGCACCTAACCACTTGGTCTCTCAAACTCTTCTTCAATCCCTTCAGGAAGGTCGACTCCAACACATCATCCGGAACGTGGGGGAGTTCCACCGCTAATGCTTCGAATCGCTCACGATACTCCTCTACACTGCTCCTTTGAGAGATACAGAACAAGTGGTCAACCGATGAGCAGCCTCGACTAGGTTTGAACCGAACCTTAAATTTATCCTTAAAATCCTTCCAGTGAATGATTTGTTCGCGCTCCTGGGCTCCCCTCCACCACGTCACAGCTGCTCCCGTGAGGCAAGTAACCGCGTGGTCTAGCTTCTCCGACTCAGGAACCCCATTCATGGTAAGACACTTCTCGATTCTAAACAACCAGTCTTCCGAGTTGTACCTTTTGAACAACGGTAGGTCCACACGTTTGGTCGGAGCTTCTGTCGGAGCCTGAGGTAGCTCCACTCGCAGCTCACGCGCTGTTGGAAGTGTTAGCCCTTCTGCAGATCTCACCCGTAGCTCATCGTTGGTTCGGGGTAAAGCCCCTTCACCGTGGAATCGATCAGAGTGCGGTTCAGGCGTAAAGGGGGCGGCTTGTGTAGCTGTTGCGATGACTGGGCTCGCAAACCCCATCGGGGAGGCTCCGGTTACCCCGTACTCTAGCTTCCTCATGATGTCACCCAACGCTTGTTTGATCCACAGCATCTCCTTATCGTGTTTATCCAGACGCTGTTCTGTGGTCAAAACCAGAGCTGGTGTCTCCGGTATACTGGTCTCGAGCTCGGACGACACAGACCTGGGATCTGTGCCGCTAACACCGTGAGTCGTCATTCTCTCTCACAACTCTCAATGAAAGCACCAATTGATAGATTATGACCTACCAAAATTGATTTATAGAACGATAAAGATAGATAAGATAAGAAGAATAAGGAAGAATAGATATATTTTGGGAATAACCCTTGATTAATGTGTGGATCCAATGGATGTCAACCCTAAGGTTTTGGACACTGTTTAAATACAACTCGATAAAACAGTAAACGACAGAGTATTGACTAAACCCCCAATTCCCAAAAACTCTACTTCCTCCCGAGTCTCTCCTCACTTCTTCCTTACTTCCTTTAGCCACTTTTCTCTACTTCTCGAGCTCTTCTCCCCTTAGTCCTCTGTTTCTTCCTCATGAAGGCAATAGGTATCTTCAACCTATCATATTACAACTACGCTACATCAGTATAATATCGAGGAGTATTATACCAACTAGGTCCGAAGCCAAAAAAAGCCTCATGATAGCTTGATAATTTCAATGCAATTAGTAAGATGCACCTTGAATTTCATGTCCTTAACGCGTAGAGTACATATGAGATTAGTAAAAGACCCATGAGTGTGGTATGTGTCCTGCTGCTACTAGTTAGTATAGATAAATAAATCTATTTTATAATGGGCCGAGACATATCAGGCCCCATTTCAACTTTCTGCTGAGTACATAAAAAAAAAACATGAGAGAATCCAGTGGTGCTCGCTTCTTCTTCTCAGATCCGAAATGTTGAGAAGAAAACCCACAAAAATCCAACTCAAAATCGACGACCGCGAAGAGCTCGAGCAATCCCGCAAATCCGATCCAGCCACCACCACTGCTCCATCTTCATCTTCGCTTCTCCATCTCATCGACCCTAAACAGCAAAACCCATCTTCCAAATCCGACCGAATCGGCCTCTCTTCCTCTTGAAACCCCTCAATGGAAGTCGAAGTCAAGCTCCGTCTCCTCACCGCCGCTGCTCATCTCCGTCTGACCACACTCCTCGCTCCCTTTCACCTCAAAACCCTACACCAACGCAACCTTTTCTTCGATACACCCAAAAACGACCTCTCCCTTCGCCGCGCCGTCCTCCGTCTTCGCTTCCTCCAAAACGCCGCGGAGGCAGCGGCAGTTACTTCTCCGTCGCGCTGTATCCTCTCTCTGAAGGCGAAACCAACGCTTGCGAATGGGATTAGCCGCGTGGAGGAAGATGAAGAGGAGATCGATACCGGATTAGCGAAAGAATGTGTGGATTCACCGTCGAAGCTATCGGTTCTTGGTTCTAGGGTTTTGAAAAGGGTTAAAGAGGAATATGGATTTACAGATTTTCTAGGGTTTGTTTGTTTGGGTGGATTCGAGAATGTGCGGAATGTATATGAGTGGAGAGGCGTGAAGCTTGAGGTTGACGAAACCAAATATGCCTTTGGTAACTGCTATGAGATCGAATGCGAGACAGAGGAACCGGAGCGTGCCAAGACAATGATTGAGGAGTTTCTTACAGTGAACAAGATTGAGTTTAAGGATTCAGATATGACAAAGTTTGCTGTTTTCCGATCAGGAAAGCTTCCTTAACAGGGTTAGTCTCTCCTACAGTCTCTTCAAAAAACTATGCATTTTATTTGGTTAGCTTGATTGTTGGTTCTTTTCATCGAATATCCCAGTAAATGTTTTCGGTTAAGCTGTAGCATTTGTATAGGTGGGTCTAAATTTGTTCAGTATGATGTTTGATGATTGCTTGTTTGCTAGTATCATTATTGAATGGTATTGAAATTGTCAAGTTTCATAATGAAACTCTTGTTATTCTACTTTTAGTTGGTCTCAAGCTTCTTGATGTTAACCCTGAACAATCCGAACACTTGGAGACAGCAAAGATGCGTTTTCATAAACTAATCGTATTTGAGTTTGGCTCTTTAAGCAAACAAAACATCCCCGTGGCAGAGACACCTTGGTTTAACTCATGTATTGACATGTATTGCTTGCAGTAACTTGACTACCTGTAGCCAACTAAGACAAACATTGAATAAATATCAGTGCATAAAGTTCTTCTTTTGTCCATCATTTTCTGCAATGTAAATAGTAATACCACCCTCTGGTGTGTAACGATCGTCATATAGATAGATGCTTCGAAAAGCTTCCTGCAATTTCCGTTGTCGTCTTGTTTGTTGCCATAAATTTAACATACTGTGATGTGCATTGAATAGGTTGAGCATCTGAGATGGGAGAAACGGTGGCTCTAATTAGGTTACCAGCATGATCAAGTTGTACTGATTACAATTGAATTTACTATGTCTCCACTAGATAGTCTCCATTGCGAGTTCTTGAAACATAGCTCACTTTAGAGCTTCGAGCAAGTTGAAATATTAGTGTCGTTGGGAAACTGAACTATTTCTTGTAGTGAAAGGACTTCTCCTTGTCATCTTTGGTTCCTGCATGTACTGGTTCATTAGATCTTCAAAGAGCACACACACCCTTGAGTGGTAAATGCTAGAAAAGCTAGAAAGCATCTTCCTTTTCTTCTGCTTTCGACATACAAATAATAATACTATAGAGTTTTGGTGTGCTTTCATTTTTATTAATACCTGAACCGATATTTGTAATGTTTATATTAACAAGGCTGAAAGAATCGGTCGAGAGTTTTGCTAATCTTTAACAAAAGTACAACGCTAAAAAAAAAAAATTAGGATGCTAAAATGTCTAATCTACTTGTAGAGTCTATCTATCTCATCCTTGTATTGATCAACCACCTTGTCCCTTCTTATTTTCATTGTCGGTGTCATGAAACCATTGTCTATCTGCAATGAGTATTCGTAGAACGTTCACATGAGTCACAAATGAGGATTATCAATGAGAACGAACCAAAAGAAACGTACCGTGAAGGGCTCATCCACGATTAGAACCGGTCCAACTTGGAACGAGCATTCTGATGTCCTGCATCATGGTTTTATACATAAGTTCCTTTCTTGCTCTTCTTTTATTCAAAGACTTAAAGCCCATAATTGCATGATCAGGGAAACTGTACACTTCATACCATCTAAGAGTAAAATCTTGGTTCCTAAGAGTAAATTCTTGGTTTGAATCATTACCATTTCCTCAGTTCTTCGTAGACCATGCTCGTTAGAGTTTCCTTGCTAAGTTCGTTGACATCAGGATCTACAGGTGAAATTTTATGCTTTGCTACTCCTTCTGCTGCTTCTTTGTTTGGGATAATGATAGCTCCAAGGCGGCGTTGATCCTGAGAGCGAAGAAAGATCAAAGACACATCAAATCCGAAGAACAAATAAGTGAAACAGCACACACCATTGTTCCTAAATCAAAGTTTCCAACAAAGTACCTGTCCAATAACAACTATTTGTTGAATCAAACTGCTTCTCATGGCAGCTTCTTCAATCTCCAATGGCTCCACGTTTTCACCTACAATGATCAAAATGCTATCAAGATGATTTCAGCAGTAATTTTGCAGCAAGACGGTTTCAGTTCACCTTTAACCCCATAGGCACGTTTAAACTGCATGTATACAAATATATGATCATAAACCTGTGGAAAGTACTATTGTGTCTTTGGCACGGCCTTCAAGAACAATGACACCTCCACAGCTACGACTCCGTCCTGTTGAGTGATGAGGAGCAATCCAACCCATATCTCCAGTATTCAACCATCCTTGTTCATCAATAACTTGCTTGGTGGCCAGTGGATTCTGAGCTAACCAACGGAAAAATGAGTTAATCTGATCTAGTATCCAAAACACAGAGAAGAAAGTGTGTATTACCTTATAGTAACCTTTCATAACCGGTGGGCCTCTGACTTTGACAATGCCCTTTGAACCAGGTGGAAGATTAGTACCAGTCTCTTGATCTACAATTTTGAATTCTGTATCTTTAATGGGATGCCCAACTGAGCCAAGAATCTTCACAAAAAAAATTCGAAAAAATACAATATTAATAGACATAGTCCAAGAAATTATATCAAAGAAAATAAAAGAAATGAGGAAATATATATGAACAGAAAAAGATAGGAAAATTTGGGTTTGTAATGTCCTCTATACACTATTTTTCTAGATGGATTCTTCAATGGCTATTTTAAACATTTGGTGCAAGAAGAGAGCTAATCATCCCATGGTCTCAAAAAAGAAAGGTTCATTGAGGTGAGAGTTAAGACTTTAAGCTTACATTACAGCTAAGCCTCCGCGCAGAGACAACCGGTGAGGTTTCTGTCAAACCATACCCATTTTGTACGTTCACACCGATGGCCTGCATGAAGAACAAAGTCTATTTACATATGGGACAAGAGTGCCTTGTTTAAATGCAAAGGAAACAAAAAATATTTCTCTCTAATTTCAAGAAACATTATATTTGTGGTCTAACCTCGAAAAACTTGTCTATATGCATAGGTAAACTGCCACCTCCACTAACACCAGCCTCAAGGAAACAAAGAAGAAATTGCAAAGTCAGCCTTACAATCATTCTTGTAACGTAAAATGAAAATTTTCTTCACATAAAAAATATAAAACTACTAAGAGAATGTTGTAATATACTACCTTTGATATTCCAATAGACGAACGGATTTTCTGGTGCACAAGCTTTTCAGCCAACATATGCATTGGCCATAAGACAAAGGCAGCTACTCTCGCCCACAACCAATCGACCAAAGCAACAATATACATTGGAGGCTTTTGATTCTTCGTCAAACAAAGACCCTGCAAACAAGAAGAGCAAAGAACTTACCCCAACTCTAGGGCATCACAAATAGGAGCAAGCAGAAAAAGTCTGGGAAGCAAGAAAGACTAAACACGAACCTCATAAATTCTTCTCATCTCTGTATATGCCAGGCTTACTTTGATCAATGTAAGCGCCAAAAATTTACGAGTAGCGGAGCTTGCAGAAATTTGCTTTTGAATTCCACTGAAAAATTCAGAAAACAGAACAAAAATGTGTAGCAATTAGCATGGTTTAGGATGCTGAGAAAGATTTAACGGCTACAAACATTGAAGAAAAATAGATAGCGTGGTTGATACATGTATCTTGTGAATTGTTTTTACCTGTAGAGTGTCTCATATACCAAAGGAACTGAAATAAGATAGTGTGGTTGATACCGCTTGAGATCATCCTATAACAAAAATGAAATACTTGACTTAGTGCAAAGTTTAATCTTCTCCCATTTTCAAGTTTACATGTCACTGTCTAACATATAACATAGAGGGGCTTACCTTCAAGAATCTTATAGACGTATACTTTTGCTCAACTCCACATGTAAATATGAAGTATTCACAAGCCCGTTCATATGCATGCCATGATGGAAGCATACTTAGAAATCTTTCACCAGCTTCAGCAGGAACAAAGTCGGATAAATTTCTTATCTGCATTCAAGAAACAAAAAAAGAGCAAATTTTTTTTACAAATGATGACATAAAGACACCGTTTTTCTTTTGCTATAAGAAAGTATTGGCTTGAACCTGGTGTAACAAATTCTGATGTGTAAGCATAACACCTTTTGGATTCCCTGTGGTTCCACTGGAATACATAATTGTAGCTGTATCATCTGGATCGATGAATTCATATTCATACTTCCCTGAAGTCATTCATTTGTTAGTAGCACTACTGCCAAAAACATTTAAGTGCTACGTATGAAAAGTAGATTCACCTCTTACCAGCTTCATTAGATCCTGCAAATTTCACACGTCTCTCATGTCCTAAGTTTTTAATTTCGTTGTAAGTATAGACTGGTGTCTGCCTTCCCGGTGTAACCAGCGACGATTTGTCACCCCAGAGAAGAATCACAAATCTTAGAGGTGCCTTGTAAGAAAACGTCTCAGCAATGCGGTTGAAAAACTCAGTGTTATCAACAACAAGACCTACACTGCAAGACAAGGCACTAGAAATGTTCTCAACTCTGTTTTCGTAAAGTTATAAATGAAACAAGAAGGATCATATTGAAAGACCAAAGACTTATGTCTCTGTCATATTACACTTAATCAAGACAACAGATCACTATGACACACCAAATGAAAATTCTCTTGGACTCAACAGGACAGTGCTAGATGTAATCTGAAGTGAGAGAATTCTAAAAATGGTTCATGAGAGCAAGAAACAACAAAAGTGTGTATGAAAAAAAGTAATTTGCTAGCCTCTCTCTCTCTCTCTCTCTCTCTCTCTCTCTCTCTCTCTCTTGAATAAAGATATTTCACTTGAAACAAGAAAAGAACAAAAAGGGTTTAGGAGTACCTTTCTGAATGACAGTATATCTGCAATAGCTCTTCAACAGAGGATCTTGATCCTCTAACAACATTGACTGCTCCTGTTGCCATTATACCTGGAATAAAGTTTATTGACACCAGCCAATAACGGTTAAGGCTCAAGTGTTATGTAAGAGAAAGTTGATTTTCGGACAGCGTAGAATTAAAAACTGTTCTGTATAACTATTAGCCACGTGGTCCACGCACCTTGATCAGCAACGAGCCACCGACAGGAGTTATCAGCGAAAAGTGCAATCTTCTCATCTGCTTTCACTCCAACGGCTCGCAGACCCTCAACAAAGTCCAATATTTCTTGTTCCAGCTGCAATTTTTGTAAGATGATTGAAATCAAAGCTTTCATTCATCATTCAAATTCTAGCATCACTGAAAACTTTAAAGGTAAATGACCTATCTAGTATAACTTAAAACAGCCGACTTTGGTTTAACTTCAGCAACTGAAAACCACTGTTTCAGAATGTTAAGATATATGCAACTGAAAACCTCTGTTTCATAATGTTCATATATGCAACTGAAAACCTCTATTTCATCTTTAGCAGTTAAAATATGCAGTATCAGAATATCTATACAAGACAGAACTAATAGATGAAGAAAGTAAAAGCTGAAGGTCCAACTTGAGTAGTTTCCATAAGATTAATCTACAGAGAAAATTACAAGAAAGAAGATCTTTGAACCATCAGATAGTTCTCGCTTAACAGTAACTTAATCGTGATAATATCTAGAAATAGCTACAAGCTTTCCACAGTCATGTTACATATGTAACCATACTAACTCCTACTTATAAAAATAAACCTCTGTTTCAAAAGTAGGAGGATCTTTGCATAATAGAACAAGTAGACTCAAGAAATGAGATGCAAAACCCACTATGCTAAAGTAAGAAACCTACCTGTTTGTAGGTTAATGTAGAAGGAGGGTCATGATACGGATCAACCACAGCAACTTTGTCACCATACTTATCCGTAGATGATCTCCAAATATCAGGAACAGCCTTCCATTCACTTGAGCGCAAAGATGATGAGCGTTCCAAGAATCTTGAACATCGTCTTAGTTCCTTCTCCTGAATCTATAACAACGGTACACAGTTTTATTTTTTGTTTTGTGTACAGATCATTCAAGAAAGCACGGATAACAATCACAATAATAAACTATAAGACAAGTCAAAAATTTGAAAAGAAACCATTTGAAGATCACTCAAGCTCTTCAAAAACTGGTGATGACAAATTTATTCAGCTTTCATAAGTCAATCCTCAGCAGATAAGATCCCTTTTTTACTTATTTACTAAAATCAAAGTAAAAAAACAATTTATTTATATTTGGTTTGTGGGAATTATAAAAAAATTAGTTTTTAAACAAAGGAATCGATCAGAAAAGTTAAATCTTTTAATCAAGTGATTAGAGAAACTCACCCTGGACTCGCAGTGAACTCGAACTACAAGGCGTGAAGAAACACAAATCCGGTGGCCAAGAACCTTGTAACTCCCGGAATCTTGAAATTCACGAGGAGAGGAGAAGAATCTTGAAACGAGAATCGAAGGTCCCAGAGACGTTGACGCCATGGCTGAGAGAGATGAAGAAAGGGTTTACTGTTGGTGTTAGCGTGAAGATAAGAGAGAAAGGAGAGGGAAAGAGAGATGATGAAGCAAGTAGCATAGAAAAGGACGAGAGAAGCATGTCGATATCGTGATTACGATTATTACAGGAAAAGAACAGACCAGTTGGTTGGCACCGCTGCAGAAGCATGGCAACTTCAGAGTGCTTAAAAAAAAAAACAGAGGCCGATACTTACACAAATATAAGAACTTTTGTTTATATATTTTATCATTCTTTTAATTTTATTTGTGTCTCTTTACCTTTATCGTTCCCAAATTTGTTGATTATGTTGAAAGATAACATTTTGTCTTTATTGATGAACTAGTTGGTGATCCACACGGTTATGTAATTCATTTTTATATATTTTGTATTAATTTATTATCGTATATTTTTAAAAATTTAAGATATATTTTTATTTCTCATAAGTATATTTCTCAAGTTTTTCATATTTTTCAAATTTCTAGTTTGTGATCTGTACAACATGGAGATTTAATTATTATTTTATATTTTTTAAAATTATATTTATTGTATCATATAGATTTTGATATTTTGTAATTGTTTATTTTTTTCAAAGTACCCATCTTGAATTTTTTGTCTTATCTCAATTTTGATCAAATATTTTCTATTGACGATTATTTGATTTATTCAAACATATAAGAAAAAGAACATATATGATAGTAGATATCAATATTATCCATTTAACAATTAAAAATATTAAAATTATATAGTTTTTAAAAATTTTCTCGACTTTTTAGATTTTTTCAAAATATTTTTTCAAGTTGATTTTCATCCAGATTATTGAGAATTTATGAATAGATTTTAGATAATGCAATTTCTCAAACTCATCTCGTTACCCGAATATCCTATTTTATTTTCATTAGATTTTTTTTTGGAAATTGTTATCCGTCTTTCTAATTACCAATTTTCATCACACACTCTTAAATTTTCGCTTTTAATCTTGAAATACTCAAAACTAATGTATATAATTATATATATATGTTGTTGTTTTTTTTTTCTGACAACACACTATAATTTTTTTTTGCTATTTTTTATATTGAATGTTGATATCAATTTTTATTATTTTCTATCTTTCTAATTACCAATTTTTGTTATACACTTGTAAATTTCTGTTTGAATCATGAAATACTCAAAGCTAATGTATATCATTATTTCTTTTATAGTATTTTGTTGATCTTTTATTTTCTGACAATTTTTTATGTTTACTATTTTTATATTGAATGTTAATATTTATTATTTTATGACTTTCCGTCTTTCTAATTACCAATTCCTATCACACACTCGTAAATTTCTGTCTTGAATCATGAAATACTCATAGCTAATGTATATCATTATATTTTGGTTTTGCTATTTTGTTGATTTTTATTTTCTGAAAACACATTATAATTGTCTTTTTATGTTTGTTAATTTTTATATTAAATGTTAATGTTAACTTTTATATTAAATGTAAATGTTAATTTTTTATTATTTTCCGTCTTTCTAATTACTAATTCTAAATTTCCGCCTTAAATCTTGAAGTATTCAATGCTAATGTATATAATTACTTTTTTGGTTTTATTTTATTTTATTTTATTTTCTGACAACATATTATAATTGTTTTTTTTAGTTTTTATTTTTTATATTGAATATTAGTGTTATTTTGTGTTTTAAAAAAATTTAAATAATAAACAATTAATGATGTAATTGTTGAGGTGGCTGAAGGAGAAGTGAGAAAAAATATTTTATTTTATTTTCTGACAATATATTATAATTTTCTTTTAGTTTTTTTTATTTTTAATATTGAATGTTAATGTTATTTTGTGGTTTATAAGAATTTAAATAATAAACAATTAATGATAGTTTCTGAGGTGGCGGAATGAGAAGTGAGAAAAGGTAACCTTTATATATATACTGACAACACATTATAATTTTCTTTTTTATGTTTCTTAAATTTTATATTAAATGTTATTGTTAACTTTTATATTAAATGTAAATGTTAATTTTTTTTTATTATTTTCCGTCTTTCAAATTACCAATTCTAAATTTATGTCTTAAATCTTGAAATATTCAAAGCTAATGTATATAATAACTTTTTTTGGTTTTTTTATTTTATTTTATTTTCTGACAACATATTATAATTGTTTTTTTAATTTTTATTTTTTATATTGAAAGTTAGTGTTATTTTGTGTTTTAAAAGAATTTAAATGATAAACAATTAATGATGTAATTGCTGAGGTGGCTGAAGGAGAAGTGAGAAAAAATATTTTATTTTATTTTCTGACAATATATTATAATTTTCTTTTAATTTTTTTATTTTTAATATTAAATGTTAATGTTATTTTGTGGTTTATAAGAATTTAAATAATAAACAATTAATGATAGTTGCTGAGGTGGCGAAAGGAGAAGTGAAAAAAAGTAATTTTATATATATAGAAGATGTTTATCCATTTAGTTTTTGTCATTAAACATCTTTACCCCTCTATTTAAAGCTCTCTTCTCTCTTTGTAATAAGATATGAGTAATAAGAGAAACATACAATTCTCTTCTCTTCCCTAATTACTCACGTCTCTCTCCCTTCTTTATCACCAAACACAAATCTCATATATATATATATATATATATCAAACACATATCATATTTTATATTATAAATAATTCATAATACGTTATTAGCACGAGTGTCTCTTAATCTATATCCTAAAGTCAGATCTACACTTGGAATGTAAAATTTATTTTAATTCAATTTAATTTAAAATTTTATTTACAGAAAGATAGGCTATGCCTTCTCCGTTTATATGTGATGCCGGAATGGTAGGCACTGCCTCCTCCGAGCTGATCATTATGGTAGGCGCTGCCTCCACGACCAAATAATTATATTGTTTATTATGCTGGGATGGTAGGCTCTGCCTCCTCCGAGCAGACCGTTATGGTAGGTTATGCCTTTACGATCTAAATGATCACATGGTAGACTATGTCTCCTAGGATCATTGAGTGGGAGATTAAAACCTCCATCTTTATTTATTTATTTATTGTGTGGGTGATTAAAACTCCCCATCTTTGTTCATTTATTTATTTATGCAATCAACAATTGTATGGCAGGCTCTGCCTCCTCATATTGCTTTTAATTATTGTCCTTTATTATGCCGTTACTATGCTCAAATTTTTAATCTAACAAATTAAGCTTTTGTTATTGAGTAATAATTTGTCAAAGCTCGAGAACACCACCCTTGACTTGTGTGGAAAGAATAATATATCTTGGGCGGTAGGTGCAAAGTTGCATCTAGAGAGAAATGATCTCTTGAGCACTATCGATATATCGGAAACGATATTTGATAAAATAAGACAAATATCATGATCTTTTTACGCCACCATATCCATGATGGTTTAAATGATAAATCCATCACGAGTAAAGATCCTGAAGATCTTGTAAAATAAGGGGTTGAATCTCTAGGTGAGAGAATTCACCCAAAGCTCAGAGTTGATATAAATCCTCCTGGTAGCTTAATAATATAATAAACTCGTGATGAGAAACCATCAATTTTGTCCAACTAAATTAACTCAATTTCCTAGGGGAGAATGTTGAGTAATCCACTTACAGTAAGTGTGATGGACAAATTTAATGAAAGAAAAGGATGATGGTTGAGACGTTGAAAGACAAAAGTTTAATGGTTTTAATGTATTATATACTTCTGTTTTTGAGTGTTTTTGTTGTAGGTTCTATTGTATCATAAGTTATATTGTCACGTATGTGTTTAATATTTATTAATACATCTTTTATGAATATTTTGAATTCAGAAAATGCCAGAATTTGAGACTATGAATGGAAAAATATGTCTGGCAAACAGTGCTACAACGCACACGATTATTAAAGATAAAAAGTATTTCTCCAGTCTCAAAATAAACGATTCCGCTGAAAGCGTGAATACGATATCTGGTAATGCAAAAATTATTATGGGCTCCGAAAAAGTCAGTTTTTCAGTGCCAAGGGGAATAAAGTTTGTGATAAATAATGCATTATATTCCCCAAAGTCTTACAGAAACTTATTAAGTTTCAAAGATATCCGCGGAAATGGATATCATATAGAGACTATGAATAAGAATGGCATTGAATATCTTTGCATTACATTAGAGAGGAAACATATATTGGAAGAATTAAAAATGTTATCCTCTGGATCATATTGCACAAAAATAAGTATGACTGAATCATATATTACAGTAAACCAGAAGTTTACTAGTACATTTAAAGTTTGGCATGAAAGGTTAGACCATCCTGGTTCAGTCATGATGAGAAAGATTGTGCAAAATTCTAATGGCCATCCGTTGAAAAACGGGAAAATATTACAAATGGGCGAGTTTTTATGTAATGCTTGTTCTCAAAGAAAACTCGTAACTCGGCCATCACCAGCCAAAGTTGGGAATGAATCACCAGAATTTTTGGAAAGAATACATGGTGATATATGTGGGCCGAACCACCCACAATGCGGGCCGTTTAAATATTTTATGGTTTTAATTGACGCATCTGTAGATGGTCACATGTGTGTCTATTGACCACACGAAATACGGCTTTCGCTAAATTCATAACCCAAATAATCAGGTTGAGAGCACAATTCCCTGATTATGTTATAAAGAAAGTAAGGCTGGATAACGCTGGTGAATTCACTTCACAAGTGTTTAATGATTATTGTATGTCATTGGGAATCGATGTTGAGCATCCGGTTGCGCATGTTCATACACAAAATGGCATGGCTGAGTCATTAATTAAACGGTTGCAATGGATTGCAAGACCGTTAATATTAAGAACAAGACTCCTAATTAATGTATGGGGACATGCTATTTTGCATGCAGCGGCCCTGATCCAGATACGGCCAAGTGCATATAATGAGTATTCTCCATTACAATTGGTATCTGGACAGGAGCCAAATATATCCCATCTTCGTGTGTTTGGGTGTGCGGTCTATGTCCCGATAGCGCT